CACCCTTGTTGGGTGACGGCAGTTGATCATGATAGTAGGTAGTGGCTGCGCCTCACTAGTGTTGGTAGGCGCGCCCAGGATCACATCTTCTGGGTTTTGGGCGAGGGCGATGTTAGTTTCTGGGATGAGTGGTGGGTAGGTGATAGGTCGTTGTCTAGGGATAGGTAGGTGTCGCATTCCCCCCTACCTGCTTGTGAGCGACCTCTGGCCGGACGGATTGTGGGATAGGGAGAAGCTAGATAGGGAGTTGGGGTCTGGTGCGGGTATTAGCGAGCAGTTATTAGATCAAATCCAGCAGATCCCTATTTCGGGAGACGGTTCAGATACCATGAGGTGGAGACTTACATCATCAGGTGTGTTTACTACTACCTCGGCTTGGGAGCAGATCAGGCTGAGGGATCGGCCTAATCTCCTCTTCGGGGCCATCTGGAGCGACCTTTTCACCCCTATCATTTCGGTGTTCCTTTGGTGCCTCCTCTTGCGCCGGATACCCATGGATACTGTGCTACACGCGAGGGGACTATCCTTCCCCTCTCGGTATGTGTGTTGTTCTGAGACTGGACGCCATGAGACCGAGACCTTTACCCACCTTTTTTCAGAGAGTGTGATTGTGAGGAGAGTGTGGGAGCATTTTGCCAATTGGACCCATATATCCCTACCCACCACAGACAGTTTCTTTGAGCTCCTGAGTTTTTTCTCACATAGCACACACTTTAGACACGTGGGCTTCCTCATTCCTTGTCTGATCCTTTGGTTCACCTGGACGGAAAGGAATACTGCGAAGCATAGGGATATCACTTTTATGCTTTCTCACATTGTTTTGTAGGTAGAGAGACACATTTCACTCCTCATAGCATTGGGCAGGCTCACAGACAGAGACTGGACAGGCTGCACGCCACCACACCGCTACATGGTGGCCCCACCACCGCCTGCTCGGCCTCCTCGGCCCAGAGCTGTTGTTTGGCTTCGACCCGACTCTCCGTGGGTCAAGCTGAACACTGATGGCTCGTTTGATCGTCATACCGGAGTTGCCGGAGGAGGAGGACTGATTCGGGACCACAACGGCGCCCTCATCACCGCCTTCCACGCAGCCCTTCAGGCCTCCTCGAGCTACGATGCAGAGATTCAGGCTTTACAGATCGACCTTCAGATTGCTGTCCACCTCTCTAGCCACATTTGGATCGAGCTAGACGCTGCGGCTGTCGCCACCCTTTTGACCTCGGGTCACCAGGACTCGTGGCAGATTCAGCACCCGCTTATGCGTATTAGAGCCCTACTCCGGTCTGTCCATCACAGGATCACGCACATTTTCCGTAAGGGGAACAGACATGCCGACTAACTTGCCAGCCTTGGCACCACCATACCAGACACATATACATTTCAGACCGACACTGCTCCACTCCGCCTTCGCACGCTTGTTCGGATGGACCAGCTTGGATATCCATCTTTCCGATTTTAGTAGATTAGGCTTTGTTTCATTAGATTGGATATTGCTTCCGGGCACCTGTTAACCCGTGGACAGACTTTGTATTATTTTTTCTTTTGATTTTCTTTTGTTGTTTTGTTTTGTTTTGCTTCAGAGACCTGTAGTTTGTTGACACTTTGGGCCCCAATTTTTGGGGCTTGATCTATGTACAGGTTGGGGATCCAGCTCAATCCTCCGCCCCTCCTGGGCGTTGTAAAAAAAACTAGCAGCAAGAAATAACTAACCTAGCAGCTACAGATAACTAACCTAGCAACAAAAGACAACTAACCTAGCATCATCAGACAACTAACCTAGCAACAAGAAAGAACTAACCTAGCAACAAAAGACAACTAACCTAGCAGCTACAGATAACTAACCTAGCAACAAAAGACTACTAACCTAGCAGCAAGAAAGAAATAACCTAGCAAGGTTAGTTGTCTCACATTGTTTTGCAGGTAGAGAGACACATCTCACTCCTCATATCATTGGGCAGGCTCACGGCCCGAGACTGGACAGGTTGCACGCCGCCACACCGCTATATGGTGGCTCCCCCACCGCCTGTTCGGCCTCCTCGGGCCAGAGCTGTTGTTTGGCTTCGACCTGACTCTCCGTGGGTCAAGCTGAACACTGATGGCTCCTTTGATCGTCATACTGGAGTTGCCGGAGGAGGAGGCTTGATCCGGGACCACAGTGGCGCCCTCATCACCGCCTTCCACGCGTCCCTTCAGGCCTCCTCGAGCTACGATGCAGAGATTCAAGCATTACAGATCGCCCTTCAGATTCTGTCCACCTCTCTAGCCACATTTGGATCGAGCTAGACGCTGCGTCTGTCGCCACCCTTTTGACCTCGGGCCACCATGGCTCGTGGCAGATTCAGCACCCGCTTATGCGTATTAGAGCCCTACTCCGGTCTGTCCATCACAGGATCACGCACATTTTCCGTGAGGGGAACAGACCTGCCGACTATCTTGCCAGCCTTGGCGCCACCATACCAGACACATATACATTTCAGACCGACACTGCTCCACTCCGCCTTCGCACGCTTGTTCGGATGGACCAGCTTGGATATCCATCTTTCCGATTTTAGTAGATTAGGCTTTGTTCTCATTAGATTGGATATTGCTTCCGGGCACCTGTTAACCCGTGGACAGACTTTGTATTATTTTTTCCTTTTGGTTTTCTTTTGTTGTTTTTGTTTTGTTTTGCTTCAGAGACTTTGTACATTGTAGCTTGTTGACACTTTGGGCCCCAATTTTTAGGTCTTGATCTATGTACAGGTTGAGGATCCAGCCCAATCCCCCGCCCTTCCGGGGCGTTGTTTGTCAAAAAAANAAAAAAAAAAAACCTAGCAACAAAAGACAACTAACCTAGCAACAAGAAAAAAATAACCTAGCTGTTAATATCCGAGTCCGGCTCCAATTAGGATATCGGTCCGAGAGACTGAGAGCCGGGCGGTGGCCGGCCGAACCGAAGAAGCCGGTCACCAAGACCGTTCGTGAGAGCCGAGCTGAGCAAAAATCAAAGTCACCGGGAACGGGGGGTAGAGTCGATCCCGAGGTCGGCACCATGTCCTCTCAACTACGAGGTCGACACCCTGTTCGAGATCTTATAAGGTCGGCCCCTAATAGAAACACGACCTTGAACACAATAAAATAAGGCCACTTGTCGACGAATGATTGCCGATGGGACATCCCAGACTAGTCTGCAGGACTAGGACGTCTAGCTCGGCCAGAGAACATGTCCGCATTAAATGCAGCCCACACCCGTATTAAATGCGTGGCAGGTAATGATTTGGAAGTCCAGAAATTACTCCTAATCAGTCAGAGAAAGGCCGGCCCGTCCCGTCGAACTACTGTACGACAAGACCAGCTAACACTACCTGAACAGTGTCACATTTAAGGCTACTATAAATAGCAGCCCACTTCATTTAATTTGGGTTATTGAATCCCAACTGTCTGAACTCTCTCTACTTTTTATCTCTAGACTTGTAAAGAATTTGTGTAAGAATTGTAAGTATATCGCAAGTGCCGACCTCGTACGAGAGGCCGACCTCGTGATCTTTAATAAAATCATAATTGAACCGTATTTTCTTTGTCTTTTCCACATTACCTTTCCATTACTCAACTTTTTAACCGTTGACCGGAAACGCCCGTCAACACTAGCAACTTAAGACAACTAATCTATCAACAAAACTCAACTAACCTAGCAGCTACAAATAACTAACCTAGCAACAACAAACAACTAACCTAGCAACAAAACACAACTAACCTAGCAAAAAAGAAATAACATAACAACAAAAGACAAATGGTCAACGGTCAACGTCGGAAGTTAATGCCGGAGTCAACGAACAATGCCGGAAGGCAGCGCCGGAAGTCAACGGTCAATGCCGGAGTCAACGGTCAATGGTCATAATAATATTTAAATAATTAAAAATAAAGAATTAAATAATAAAACTAAAGAATTATTATTTAAATCAAAATCTAAATCTTATGTCTATGAATGAATCTTACGTCTTCACTTTAAATAATGGGAAGCATTGGAATTAATCCCTATATATATATATATTTATATGTTTGAGATGTAAAATGAAATTTGATTTTAGATAAGAATCTATACTTATATAATAAGAATTAACATTTATCCAAAATAGTAGGTCAAATTATGGTTAATGTCGGATTTGCATTAAATATTTTCCAAAACCGGTAAGTTTTTGTCCTTTTCACACTTCTCATTAATTATGTCATTTTCACGCTTCTCATTAATTATGTCCTTTTCACACTTCTCATTAATTATGCCATTTTCACACATCTAATTAATTCATTAGTTACGACATAATTATCATAAATCATTCCATCTGACCTTTTATCGTTAAAATGTATAGCGATCTGTTATGACTTTATCCCATTGATATTTCCAGAAAGCGTCCTTATGGCGTTCTATTTTTTGGTAACCACTCTATATCAATAACCGGATATTTGGTTAATGATAGCACACGTCTTTATTTCAAGGAGTCGATATTCTTTGACCTTTAATTAATCTGAACTGATTGTCTTGACTTTTTAATTTTTAAAAACTTTTTTTTTAAATATTTCGGCTTAAGATTCGAATTTCATTATACAAGTCATCGGATTGTTTGAATGAAAATGAATGAAAAGAACACCAAAAACAGGTAGCCTTATTCATATAACCAATCCTAAAATATTAGTTTGTTCACCAAAAAGAGACAAATCCTAGAAATCCTACAATATTAGTTTGTTCACCAATCCTAAAATGTTAGTTTATTCACCAAAAATATTAGTTTGATTTTTAGGATTTGTCTCTTTTGAAAATATTAGTTTGTGATAATGAGGAGTTACCAAATAATCAAACTCATAATGTTGTGTACAAGGAGGTTTTTAATAATATATGATTGTTACCGAACTTTTTATGATTCAACAATGTTCATATGTATTTTAATGATTTCAATTTCGATCTTAATGCACGTGAGGTTATATTATTTTTCCAAATCTTACATCTCGGCACAGGTTACGTACTAGTTTGACAAATTATATTCACAGTTGGAGGTTCGCGCGGTGCCGATTTCTTCAGCAGCTGCCCTAGGGCCTAGACGATCCTGAAATAGCCAAAGCCCTCCTTTCATCACTAAGTGTAACACCAAAACTCCGCCATCGAAACCAAGAAGCTCGAGTATTACATAATTGCTAACAGCAAAAGGAACTAGGACGTAAGAATGAGCACCCATACGGCGCCGTACCACCAGCCGACTACGCTGGAAGAAGTTCGTACCCTTTGGATTGGGGATTTACCTTACTGGGCCGACGAAAACTATCTCCGCGGCTGGTTCTCGCACACTGGCGAGGTACCCTAATCTGTTATAGATTTCAATCCTTGAAATTTGTAAAAATATGAAAAAGAATAAGATAAATAAATGCCGTCTGTTGTGTAGCTTGCACCGTGCCCAGTGAATTTTCTTTACATTTTTGTTGTAGGTGTTAGCTTAACTGCTTATGGTTTAATGTAACTGGTGACTAGAATATTAAGGCTGATTTCTATGTTTAAAGTCGACTGCTAGGCTGAAAAAGGCTGTACTGGGTTTGTTGCTGATTACATTAGGGTTCATGGTATTAGGCTTCTTGTTTGTATTTTTTATTGGGTTCAAGATTGAATTTTGTGGTGTTTTCACCCATTGATGCAATAGGAACTGAAATTTTTTGAAAACATGTCCATAGGAACTGCAAGATTGACTGAAAATTGCCCTTTCAGGTGCTGTCAATCAAAGTAATTCGCAACAAACTAACAGGTCAGCCCGAAGGTTATGGGTTTGTGGAATTTACGTCACATCAAGTGGCGGAAAGCATTTTGCAGTCATACAACGGAACACAAATTCCTGGGACTGAACTAACTTTTAGGCTTAACTGGGCATCATCCGGGATAGGAGAAAAGCGTGCTGATGCCGGCCCCGAGCACTCCATTTTCGTTGGGGACTTAGCTCCGGACGTTACTGATTATCTGTTGCAGGAAACTTTTCGAGTTAATTATCCATCAGTTAGAGGGGCAAAAGTTGTGACTGATCCCAACACTGGGCGTCCCAAGGGTTATGGCTTTGTTAAATTTGCAGACGAGAACGAAAGGAATCGGGCAATGGTCGAGATGAACGGCATGTATTGTTCGACCAGGCCTATGAGAATTAGTGCGGCCGCACCCAAGAAAACATCTGCCGGGGTCCACCCGCAGTTTGCAGCTGCTAAAGGTGATTTTTAATTTCTGTTTGATTTTGTGAGGTGCCACTGCATGATTCTTGTTGGTTATATTTATATCCTGTGGATGACTGTACTTTATAGCATGTCTAAACTCTAAAGTTATGCTTGGATATAATTTTTTTTTATTTGATTGAATTTTTTTTGTTTGGATTGGTTAATTTTGAAAAAAGGTAGTATGGTTAGTTGATAGTGGATATATTAAAATAATATTTAAAATAAAATAATTAAAGTTGATTTGATGTAAAAGTAAGAGAGAGATGATTTGAAGTGATGGTTAGTTAAAATTATGTGAGTGGATGAATAGTGAATTAAACTTGATGTGATGTGTAAGAATGATTGATTGATATTATTTAATTATATCGATAATATTGATAATAGTGGGGTTAAGTTAAAGTTGAGCTAAAAAAAGTGGTTGAGTTAAAAATGTTTTGATTTTTTTGAGTAGATTTGTATCCAAGCATAGAGATTTTCTATATTTTTCTAACAATCATTTGTTTGCTTTGTACATTTCCCATTCATTTGATTGTAAGCTGCACAGTATTCTTTTCAATGCCAGTTTGAAATGAAATTCTCAGAGTGTTCTCTCTTTTCAAATCTGCCCTTTGTCTCCTGAACTCTTATCACTATTTGTCGTAATATTTTATTTTCCTCCCAGCTGCAATATATCCACCTTCTGTATACCCTACAGCAGCTCAGACGATTCCAGTGGATAACGATATAAATAACACTACTGTAAGTCAGACTCTTTAGAGCCTTGTAGCTGCACTTCTGTTTTTGATGCTAACTATGTTGCTGATCTTGCAGGTCTTTATTGGTAATCTCGATCCTAATGTAAGCGAAGAAGAACTGAGGCAAATATTCGTGCAATTTGGGGATATTATCTACGTCAAAATCGTGGCAGCAAAGGCCTGTGGCTTTGTGCAGTTTGCCGCCAGGTGAGTTCTGGATCAAGAAGCTTGTATTATCAGTATTTCTCTTTTGTCTTCAGTATCTTCAGCATTTTTAGTTTTCCTAATTAATTATGGGAAATGTTTGTACCTTCATAGGACATCTGCAGAAGAAGCTATCCAGAGGATGCAGGGTGCTGTGATTGGGCAACAGGTTGTTCGTGTTTCTTGGGGAAGAACTCCAGCAGCAAAGCAGGTTGAATTCTATTTGCTGTGGACCTCTGTGTTTAGATTACTGGCAATCTGTTGATATTTTTGTGCTGTAGTTAATCTCTTTCTACTTGTGCTGTTTAGCATGCAATATGAACATTCTTTTCAGTTTTCAGTAGTATTTCACAAATTATTGGTGTGTATTTTGTAGGATGTGGCTGCCATGTGGGGACAATCAGTGGACCCAAATCATTATAGTGCTTATTATGCTTATGGTCAAGGCTATGATGCCTATGCTTATGGAGCAACTCAAGATCCCTCAGCAGATGCTTATGGTGCATATGCCGGTTATGCACATTACCCTCAGCAGGTTATCTCAGCTTGTCTTTGTGTCTTTAACAGTTCAATTTTTTCCAACTCGGATGCAAATGTCATAGTAGAAATCTGTGCCTGCTGAACTTGTGGAATTATATTCGCTACTGATACTGGAAGAAAAATGGCAGTAGAACATTCTAATCTTTTATTTTTAATATTTCTAATTCATGTACAGACAGAAGGGGCTCATGATGTGGCTGCCACAGCAGCTCAACCCATGGAAAATGTTGAGGAAGTCTATGATCGTTTGGCCACACCAAATGTTGAAAAGTAATCAACCCTCACTCCCAATATTTTTTTGTATATTTTACGTATTTTCCATCGAAAGCCAAGATGGATTTCGTTGTCCCTTCTGATATTTTGTAACAATTGTTCTTTTGTCTTTGTCACAACTGTATTAAAAGGTTAAATGCTGCCTACACTGCTGTTCACGGACGTGCCATACTGGGAAGGGTTTTATGGCAGACCACCTCTTCTTAGAAGGGCTGTTTGCCAGAGATTATGCACTTATTCATGATTTTGGAAGATGCATGTTGGGTGAGAGAGAACAAGTTATAAGGGCGTGTAAGGCAATCAATATTAGGTTGTACTAGATAATTTGCAATTTTAAGGGCTTGATTGTTTATGAATTATTTCATTCCCATTTACTTCATGTGAAAAATCTAACTGAATTTTAACTCAACCCTACTATCTTTTAATATTATTCATATAATTAAATAATACAAACCAATCGTTCTTACACATCACATCAATTTCAATTCACTATTCATCCACTTACATAATTTTAACTACCAATCATTTATTTCATACTTTTACATCAAATCAAGTTTAATCATTTTATTTTAAATATTATTATAATACATTTTTAAAATTTCACTAACAACTAACCATATTCACCTTTTTCAAAATTACTATGGTTAACTAAAATAATTCATTTTGAACAAATTATTTCATAAACAATCACCCCCTAAGTTCTTATACGCGCTAATTGTTCCGGTTGTATTGGTTATGAGGAACTAAGATAGAAAACATATGAAAGTTTGCTCATAGATTTGGCCTTTATTCTCCCCAAACATTAGACAAAGCAAGTCTTTTGGGATGCTAACGTGGGTATTTCATTTCAGATTTTCAATTGATCATACTGAATACACATTAATGATGCTGTGCAATGGCAACCTGTGTTGAATGGAGTGTATAATGTTGAGCTACTGTTTCGACGGGTCTCAGTAGTTATATTTACAAATCTCATAGTTCGAAGGCAGCGATTTGATAAGAAATACTTTTTTTCTTTGTTCAGCTTTGATTTATTTTACGAAGTTAAAATTAAATAAAAAAATAAATAAAAAATACTATGAATTTCATCACATTTTTCTATATAAAATCCACACTATTATAATTAAAATTAAAAATCAATTAATATTAAATACACACTAATCATCTACTCACAGAGTGTTAGAGCATATTTATTTATGGAATTTTTCAAAGAAATTTTAACATTTTAACCCAACCACTTTTTTTAACTCAACTTTAACTCAACCCCACTATTATCAAAATTATCAATATAATTAAACAATATCAATCAATCATTATACACACCACATCAACCTTAATTTACTATTCATCCACTCACATTATTTTAACTAATCATCACTTCAAATCTCTCTCTCCTACTTTTACATTAAATCAATTTTAATTATTTTATTATAAATATTATTTTAATATACCCACTAACAATTAACCATACCACTTTTTTTAAAATTAACCAAACCAAACCAAAAACTTCAAACAAAACTAAATTTTTTTATAAACAAACATGCTTACCTATCAATCCTATCAATCAATATGTTATTATTTATGTATCACATTAATTTTAGTTATTAGAAAATATTTTTTATATCATATTCATTCAGTCACATTTTTTTCTCATTCTTTTTAATCTTCTATTTCACTTGCTATCGCTTTTTCAAATTGAACAAAACATTTTGAGATAAAAATATATACGCAGCCTAACTAATCCAAAATAATCTTAATGAAACCTAAAATCCAAATTCCTGCAGACTTCTGTACTCAATTTCTTTTTTCAGATGATAAATGCTCAGCAAACAAATGTTTTCCGGGTCAGTAATGAATGTTAGTTGTGGACAAATAACTCACAGAGAACGCGAAACCAAAATCAAGTTAACAATAGCAGAAGCGTCTATAAATCTTTCACCAATTTACGGTTCAAATAAATGTGTTCAGCCCATATCATGTATCATATATGTTTCCTTGAGGAAGAAAGAAAAAATGAGGGAAAAAAAATTCAAAATTGTTCTCTAGCTCAAAGTATTGCAATCACCTCAACACACAGGGAAAAATAATAAGAGCAACAACAGGATTCATGAATAAATATCCATTATCCGATCTGAAGTTTCTAATCTAGAGATACTTGGTCAGCCAAGGCAGGTCTTTGCTTTCCTTAAGTGCAAATGTAACATCATCACTGCCAATTTATTGAGTAGAAATATTATTAACATTAGTGCCCATTAAGAAACAGTCAGTATAAATTTTTTTTAAGAGCTCTACATTTACTTGCAAATCTAGACTTTGATCTTTGTGATAGACTCACCTTGGATAGTTGAGTTGCAGTTTCTGCAATTTGTGCCGTGAGCCGGCTTCACACACTAAAATTCTGCATTCCCCAAGCTTGCAGCTGGTAGTTAAGACATACAGATAATACTTGATAAATATAACCGATTAATCTCTTAAAGCCAGTCCTCTGGGTTTTATTGTTTTTCATATCTTCTTCTAATTTAGAAGCCGGATAATTTAAGACACTCCTCAAGATTTCAAATTTAAGCTTTTGAATAAGTCTGAGCACTGTGATTATCAACAACATTAAGATGCCATATTTACGAATCTCCACCCCATAGTGATACCCTCGTAAAGTTTGGTGAAAGAAAATATGAGTATCTATAACAAGCATTCTGCAGGCATGATCCAACTATTTATTGGTTTTTCTTTTTTCACGTATTGGCCACTTGAGTGTTCGAGATTTCAAGAGCTAGACACTAGACTCATAGTGACGTCACAAGCTACACTAATTAACAACTGTAAAGGAAATTTATTACTTCGGCTTACCCGACTTTCAAGAGTGTATCATATCCTGGAAACATTTCTCCATTGCTTGAGCAGAAACATGAGACGGTCATTGCCAACTGTATGGACCGAAGTACAAAATTAACAAAAGCATTAATTGGTTTGAATAACCTGCACTAGCTAAAGTTGCATATCGGTTTTAAGAACACCATATTTTTACCCAAAAGTAAAGGGCTGATTTTAATGAAACGGATACACAAAAATATGAGCTGAAAAGACACGGGAAGGTTACCTTTTCAAAAGTTGTTTCACCCATTCCTGTTTTATAAAGTTCATGCACCATGGCAGCTAAGAATATTTTACTCAGTTTAGAGCAACTTCGTATCACCTGGAACCCAAAAAATAAAAACAAAACTGAGTTGTTAATTATTGTTGCAACACATGTGCCCTGTGGTTGGTAATTAGTCGATGTAAATAAAATATAAGTTACTCAACTTACCTGGATATGAGGAGCCTGAAACATCTCTTTTATTGCTGCTTCAATATCTGCCATACCTACCATGACTTTCACTGCACAAAAACAGTAAACCATATGAGTTGCCAAACATTTATTTAGACAGAAATATATACAATTAGGAAATGCTTCTAATAGTTAACTATTTAGAGGATCTTTAGGGAGGGGTAGTCCTTTTCTTTAGTCTATTATGTCAAATAAATTGGACAAACTCATGAACAAACTGTCCAGAAAACAAATCCCATTAGATTTTTTTTTTCTATGTTTATGTTGCACGTTCAATTTTGGACAGAACCTCTTGTTCGCATTTCATAGAAGAGCACAATTATGATTATTCTTATGGGCTTTCGTCATGGAAATGAATATTTTATATTGGAAAAGAAGAAATGAAATCATTGTCCTGCCTGCATCTGAGCTAGAAAGTGGAGATCTTTTAGCATGGTAATCAGCAAGTTCTGCAGCACGCCTGCAGATCTCCAGGGCACGACGAGCATCACCAGAAACAGCAGCTACCTAAAAGTCAAATGCTATAGTAAATATCATAGAATATGTAAAATATGCTGCATAGAAGTCACCACTCTGGTAATTTCAAACCTTTCTTGAAGCAAATTCAATTGCAGGTTTTTCAAAAGCATCAATCCCTTTGAGGCGACTGGAAATTATTTCCTGAAGCTGCTGATAGTTGTAAGGTCCAAAGCAAAGCCTCTGTATGCCCATACGACTAGAGATGCGTGGGAGCAACTTCTCTGGAAGATCCATGGTGTTTGCTATTCCTGAGTATGAGAAGAGCAAAGGAAATTAGACAATAAAAAGGAAATTCAGTTATAGTGATTGCAGCAGCGATTTCCTACCTATCACAATCAATTTGGAATTAGGCTTGGTGGGCCAATCAAGGATATTGTATAAAACCTGCAAATTAAAGTGTCACGGAATAAAATACTGAAGATTAAAAAACGAAAGACGGTTGATTCTGATAGAAATGCACAACTTACTGACTGGTTTCTGGTTACTAGAAGATCAAGTTCATCTATGAGAAGAATACAAGGCTTCGTATCTTTTGCATGATTATTTTCATCTGAAAATCGCTCATTTAGCAAATTGAGTGCCTTTTTCCACCCAAGTTTATGTCCAGTTAATCCCTCATAGATTACCTGCAAATAGTTTCCACAATAAGGTATCCATAAGCATAAAACTACATCTTAGATGAGTTGCCATGCATCCCTACACTATATATATTCTCTGGCGAGGCCAGTTTGAGACCATTAATCTCAACAAAGCAGTAAGGCCTTATGCTTCCCGCATCAACCTCGGACTTCAAATGTCTCATCACAGCAAGCACACTCATTGTCTGCAGTTGGCAAAGATGAAAAAGCAAGTTTTATAGCCCCAACTTACCAAAAAAAAAAATCGGCCGTTGAGATAGCCAATTTTAACAACTTCTTAAGCACAATAAATTTACCTTGCCAGTCCCAGGAACACCATGAATGTATAGGCATCTTCCCAGGCACTGCTCATCACATATGGCTCCTTTAATAAATGAGGTTATCTCAAACATTTCCCTGCACGAAACAAATTTCCATAAGATGGTGTACAGGACTGACTTCAGAACCAATAACTCTAAAATCTATACTTACTTATCCCTACAAGGTAGAGATTTTGGCAATGTTGCAAGAAGAAGTGTTGCTTTTGCCTTTTCTAGGTCAGTTTGCTTGTGACATCGAACATGTTCAGGAATTCTCTTAGCCCCTATTTTTTGCAGTCCAAATATTCTCCCCTTCCTTGAGTTCTGAATTAGCAAGGCACAGAAGATATCACATTTGTTTCAAGTAAATAGGTATAAAGACTTCAAATTTAAGTTAAAATTAGCATACAGCAGCCACTGGGTGAGATAAAGAGGCTTGAGCCAGTGAACTGATTTTGGTCTCATCATCATAGTCGATGTCATCTTCTGAGGCAGAATCTGAGTCATCATAAGAATCCCAATCGTCATCGTTGTCATCCTTTTCAGCTCCTTCACCATCCTGTAAAATAATAACCTATAAATTCCAAGAGAATGCAAGGGCCATTCTGTATAACTTATAAGCACCCTCTAACTTACATCATCATTATCAATCTCTGCAATACGTTTGAAGCTATGCCACTTTATATCGTATTCATATTCACAAAGAAACACATCATCTCCATCATTGGCAGCAACAGAGAATTCTTTTGGAGCCATAACATAACAGTGCCTAATAACGGACGCCATCTACGAAACAAAAGTTATTACAAAATATAAATTAGAGAAAATGTTACAAGTTTTCCCCTTTAAACATGAATAATGACAATGCTTCCCTTTCAATGATTGTCGCTGCATTTGAACTAAAGGCAGCTTTTCGTATGAATAAATATACAAGGACAGATCACCTCAATATCAGCAAAATCATTAGTGCGATAAAGCTCCCTCCTCAAGTTATGATATTGTCTGCCCACAGCCGTCTCCTCCGGAATAATATACCACCGTGCTCGACACCAGTAAGTACCGTCCGCTTCCTTCCATAAACTATACAATAAGCAGGTAAAAATCAATAGCACAACACAAGTTTAATCAATTACTGTAAATCCAAATGTGAAAAAACTGCAGAAACCTCTCTATACGCACAGCCCACAAATCACTCGAGAGCAACTTCTCCCTAGCAGTCCTAGCCCTCTTCTTCCCCTTGGGCGGCTCTGGAAAGTCCACCATTTTCCCCGATTTTTTCGCCTCACAGTAATTGCAAACCCAATCCCCTTCTGGAACCTCTCTCAATGGAGGATTCACACACTTCAGGTGAAATCCAAACAAGCAAAAATCGCACTCGATCATAACCTGCCTCCCGGGAGGCTTGAAACACACTCTGCATTCCTCCACCTCAGGCTCCTCATTGTCCGAGCTGGCGTCGTCTCTCCTCTTCACATAAACATCATCGCCGGCCGAAAACTCAACCCCATCAAAAACCACCTTTCTGTAGTACGACCTTCTCCTAGATTTGTGACCACCGTTTCTAGTTTTGTTGCACCTCGAGATCCTTTTCTTCTCTGAGACCGGAGTCTGTTTCTCTTCTGGAAGCTTCCTCTTCCTCCTTGGTTCGGTAGTTTTCGGAGATGCTGGGATTATGGAAATGGCGGCGGGTGAAAGTTGGGGCAGCGCGATCTGGCGAGATTTCGGGGTTTTGACAGCGGAGTGTGGGGAAATTGCCTGGGGAGGCGGTGTAGGAGGAGATTTTGGCGTGGAGATTGTGAAGCGGACAGATCGTCGGAGGGTGGAGGTCACTGGCGTCGAGATTTGCGGGGTCTGGGGTGCGATGATTTGGTTCGGGGAGGAAACGGGGGCTTGCCGTCTCTTCGGGGTCCGGCTGGCGGACACGGAGGATTTCATATTTTTCGGCGCCTCCGCCATCGTCGTAGATCTTCGCGGCGGCGGCGGTCTGTGTCGTGCGGACGGGATGTGGAGAAAGAGGGATAGAGGGGAGAATGGTGGCCGTAGTAGTGGAAGACTCAGAAATGGCGGGAAAATTCGCTCTATATCTCTGCTTTTGTTTATTTATTTTTTTGTAAGATTTTAATTATTTAAATTTAGAATAAAGTTATTTCTATTCAGTAGCACTGTAGCAGTAGTGTTGTAGAAAGGCGCTAGGCGCTCGACCAATGCCTAAAATTAGGGTTTTTGGTCACACAGTGAAGAAAGAGAGCGAATTGAAAACGGAAATAAAAAGACTGATCGCACTAGTGGAAAAAACACTTTTTACATCGGTTAAAAATCATATTCACATCGGTTAAAACCCATTTTTAAAACCGATGTTGAAACAGGCGATGTTAAAAATCTGTCTTTTTTACATCGGTTACTAACCGATGTGAAAAAAAACTTGTTTACATCGGTTTTGCCAAATAACCGATGTTATAAGGGAAAAAATAAGTCTCGAAAATAGAAAAAATCGATTATATTAACATCGGTTGTATAAAACCGATGTAAAATAAGACATTTAACATCGGTTTGTATAAAAACCGATGTAAATAAAGAAATATAACATCGGTTATCGACGAAACCGATGTAAATAAAGACATATAACATCGATTACCAAAATAACCGATGTTAATAAAAACATATAACATCGGTTACCAAAATAACCGATGTAAATAAAGACATATAACATCGGTTATCGGCAAAATCGACGTCAAACATTTTTGTCGAAATAGTCTTTTTGCATCGGCTTTATAAAAACCGATGTAAAATAAAACAATAATTTTATTTAAATATACAATTTTTTTACCTATAAATCTAAAAATCTATTACTGCAAATAATAACATTCATACATTCAAAATATTCTCACAAGTCAACAAAAACCCACATGACAAATACTAACCACCAAAATATTTCAACACCACCAAGTTATAACAATAATTTTCATATGCACTACACCAACAATAAGTCATCAACCACAGTTATAACGTTCAGATTCCATAAAACGTAAGCAAACTGATAAGTCTATTTTCCTAATGAAGTAACCTCAAGAAAGTACTTCGACCACCGCATTTTTATATTTTCAATGTCCTCGTCCGAGTATGGCTCATCAATGTTGAAAGCCTACATGATACAAACAAATATTAACATAGTTAGAAATTCTCATGATCACAAAAAACAGCAGCAAGCAAGCAAGAAGAGATGACAAGTGAACTTTTAGCCGTATTGTACATAATACAAGGTTATTATTACCTCATAGAATCGAAACAGTGTAAAATGCATTCTTGATAAAATCAAATATAGAATCCAGTTTACATGATTTGAATTCACCAGTTCTCACATTCCAATATGGATTTCCAATTCCTTAATCGGTTTCGGATGGATGCTTGCGTCTATAGACATAACAAAAAAAAAATACAAAAAACAACATATCATGAACAACACCAGAACAGGTACTATACATTATACTTTAAATCGTCTGTTAGGATAGTTATTTAACATAACAATAACTGAAACTAAACCCAAATAAAATTTTTAAAGCTTCAAATTTTCTCTAAAAATCTAACCTTTTTTACTCATGTACAAAAGATCGAACTTCATAGTGCAAAACAACTTCAAAGTTCAAATACTCCAAACAAAACCTCAAAATTCCTTAAAATAAAATCAGACCAATAAAAAAATCACAAGCAAATAAAAGAAATCAAAAGCCCACTATAACCTGTATTGAATTGTGCATTTTCAAATACAACAAAAAGTTGATTTTAATAAAAAACTTACCTCTTCGAACGAGTCGATAATGTCAGGTGATATAATCTCGAGCATATACCTCATAACAAAATATCCACATTCTGTATCTCCCAATTGCTTTCGACACTTGTATGAAAAACATAAAACATCATTATACTACACAAACTAAATCGATGCATAAAACCAAGAAAGTAATAAAATTCTCCAAAATCAAAACACCTAACATCATTCAATAAATTTACCTTAAGTGGAACACATTTAGGCTTCATGTTACGTTTTCCCTTAACCATGAAGTATGTACGAAATACACTGCAACATAATAAATATTCATATTACTTGAAAGACAAAATAAGCCAAAATGTAAAAGATAATATATTCAAAATACATTTAGCAAAGAAAAGTTAACTACAAAATCGATCTAATTTATCAATTTAAAAACATACCTGTTAATCTTGTTTACCAACTCTGTGGTGGGATCTTTTCTCAACGAGCACAACCAAACCACTTTATTTTGTTTGGGACAAAGTATCATCAACTGCCAATGTTCTCTGTCAATCCAGAAGATAAATGTATTTAACTGGTACACTTTTTTAATTTGTATCTCTATATAATGTTAATAAAAATAAAATAAAGAAAAGAGTGAATTTTATATGTTGTATATTCTTACTCGCTAATGTACGGTGCAAAGATACACTCGTAATTTTCTTTTTCCATTCTTCTCGCAATATACCCTTCTATCTCTTCCTTGCTATTGCCCCTTGTTTGAATTTTGAGCGGGCACAAAAATCCAAACTTTTTTTCTTTCTCGGATTCTTTCAGCACATTATAGAGATACCTGTGGTAACTCAGACAATAAAAAATTTTTAGAAACAAATATAGTGGATAATGTATATATAATACTAAACTATTAAAGATTATTGAATTAAGAATTTAAAATTTAAAATTATTACCTCAAAGTGCAAATAAAAAGCAGACAAAAAATGTTGAGAAATACTTACATGTTGAAGAATTCAATGATAGAAATGCAAAGTTTTTGACTTTGCAACAACTCCATTATATCCTTCTGAAATATGTACAAATCTCTTTTCTCTCCAAATATCTCAGCCGGCATGTTTATGCAAATTGGATTTTTTATATACCGTGACGCCATCCACAAAGTTTTCACGACATCTGTCTCAGGTTCGATAATCGGTTTTGGTGTCACTGGCTTCGACTGAAATTTATCCTACGAATGAGAAATTTATTCATATAAAATTGCCAAGAGAATGTAAATTCATAAGATTACTCATAAAATGATTTATTTTATTCTAGATAACTCGTAGGAACCGAAAAACCATTCAAGACTATAGAGTCAGAAAGATACTATTATAAGTAATTTTAATTACCTTAGCATTTGCACCTTTAACCAACCTACGAGGCCAAGTAATGAAGTTATTTGGCGCTTCTTCTACGGTAGTGACCTCCTCTGTCGGGCATGGCACGGGCGCATCTCCAACGATAACACGTGACACGACAACCCTAACTTCATCCTCATTCATCTTCTTGTGGTGAATGGTTGGCCCAAGATTATGGATACGTCCGTATGCAACCAAAATTCTTTTTGGGTTCTCCACATACAACTCACATTCTTTATCCTCGTTATGTTCATCCAATGAGAACACATTTGGAGCACAACTCTCTGTAGTGCTTTGGATCCTCGGAGAATTAGGACTAGGGGCAATCGAAGAGCTTTTGCCAATCATCATCATTATTTCATTTTTCATTTCGTCTTTCATTTGGTCAATCCTGCGACTGATGATAGTTTCCATCTCATCTCGCGAGACCATATCTTTCCCTACACCTGAATTGCTCGACGGCCCAAAGAAGTCTTTGATCCCAACACCTTTCCCCACTCCCCTCACACGCCCGGGATGCTCCGGCCTTCCTAAAGCTGTTGCGAGTATATCGTTTCTTCCAACAGGTTTGAAACTGCCTTGAGTGCATTGTTCTTCTAAAGAATCCTGCATAAAAGGTTAGAAGAATTTACAAAGAGTTTTTATCTATTCATGAATGTACGAAAAACTTAAAATATAAAAACCATCACTTACGATTTTGTCAGCAACATTTTTGGCTTCCTTTGAAACAAAATCTCCTTTCTTTGTTATACGAGCTCTTTTCCATAATTCATGACGAGAAGGAGGAGACGGGGGTGGAATAATTTCGGACGGATCAGTGGAGGCCTCTTTTCTTGCCCTGTATTTCTCGTCCATAATCTTCTGTATCATAAAATCGTAGCCTCCACGAGATAATATGTGCGGACTTAGATTATATGATTGCGACTCCTGAGCCTTTCTTCTGATTTCCTACAAACATATAGATTAAAAAACACAATCAAGAAAAACAGCTCAACATCTCAAATATCCACTTATCATTTCTTTTTTCTCAAACAATTCTTACATAAAGATCAAACAAGTTAATAGAAACAATTGTTACACGCACTTTTGATTTTAAATTTCCCCAAACAATTTAATTTTAATTGTATGGCCAGAGACTCAAAATTATATATGTTCATGATAGTAATTAACTTACCAAGAATTCAGGAGTTTGACGGGATGCAACAAAAGCTTTCCAAGTGTCCGCATCCAGAAAAGGGTAACCATCGTCATACGGGAGCACACCTATCTTATCTCCAAATATGTAATCACTGAGTTTAGTTTTGAAACCCCTCCAAGCATCCCCAGCACGTGAAAACACTTTCTTTTTCAATTTCTCATTATCTGGCACATCGTACTGCTCCTGAAAAATATAAAGATTCATCAAAAAAATAATTAACATTTAATCATTAAACATTTATTCACATAACTTGTACAACTTTATCACAATAAATCATNGACAACATGATGTACTTGCGCTTCATACACAATAAGGGAGAAAGATTATAAACAACCAATAAAACTGGCCATGCACTGTGCTTGCTACTTAGGCTACCGTATGGATTCATCCCGTCCGTACAAAGACCGAGCCTGATGTTTCTTGGCTCATTTCCAAAGGAAGGAAACAAGTGGTTTATTTTCTTCCATTGAGGGGAATCACCGGGGTGTCGGAGCATACCATCGTCTATCCTCTCATCAGCATGCCATCTCAAATTCTTTGCCTCCTTTGCACTAGAAAAAAGACGTTTGAATCGTGGAATTATAGGAAGATACCACAACACTTTTGCTGGTGGCCTGTTTGTAAGCTTACGAGCATTGGACGTTGTGTGAACTTCATTTTTGTAACGCGAAACCCCGCACATCGGACACTCAGAAAGACTTTTGTACTCATTTCTGTACAAAATACAGTCATTAGGGCATGCGTGAATTTTCTTATACCCCAAACCCAATGGGCACAAAATTTTCTTCGCCTCACAGCTAGAATTTGGCAGTTCATTGTCTTCAGGAAGCATACTTTTTAACAAGCCAAGCAACTCCGTAAAACTCTTATCGCTCCACCCATTTGCGGCCTTCAATGTGATTAGTTTTAACACAGCGGACAAACGTGAAAAGTTCTTACAGTCTTTGTATAAAGGCTTTTCTGCATTCGTCGACAAGGTCTCACACACTCCGCTTGTGTATACTTGCTCAAAGGCTTCAGCTCCAATGTCATTAATCATCTCTTTCACTCGATCATACATATCTGCATCAACTTCTTCATTTTTTGTCCCACTCGGCATTTCAAATTCACCATGCCATATCCATTTTGTGTAACCCTTATTGAAACCATCGCAAACCACATGCTCTCGAATTTGATCAGCACTTAATCTCCTCTCATTCAGGCAATTCACGCACGGACATAAGAACTTCCCGTTATTGTCAGGATCATGCGTGCTAGCAAACTCCAAGAACTCATTTACTCCATTTTCATACTCTAAACTTGTCCGGGGAGCATATATCCATTTACGATCCATAACTACATAACAATATTCCAGATAACAAAAAGTATCAATTTTTTCCCATGAATTTCTGCAGCTACAAATTAAGACTGGTGAAGACGAGCGAGAGCCGGAGGTTGAGCAACCGCGGCGGTGGGCTAAGCCTGAGGGAGAGAGACGATAGAGATAGAAAGACTGAGGTTGAGCTACGTGACTGCGTGAGTTGAGTTGACGGAAGTGAACTTCAGCCAGACAAGATTCAAGAAATAGAATTTTAAGTCTTGTTAATTGTAAATTGTTTTTTTAATTGTTAATTGTCATTGTTATTCTTTTATGAATGGCCAAATGGCCCAAAGGCCCAAAGCCCAAAGCCCAAAGCCTAAAAGTGAAAAGCAAAAGCTTGTCTTGCCTACCTACGCAATGACCCAACAGTACAAATAAATTGCATTTTTACATATTCGGTGCTGTCCGGTTAAAACCACACCCTTAGGATACAAAACCGAACTACACCGAATTTGTTGCTTTTTCAAAATTCTAACCGTACTGCAAATCGAACCCTTGAAAAACCGAACTGATTCGCAACGAATACATCGATTCGGCCCAGTTTTTCGATTTTCGCTCGATTTTGCTCACTCCTACATCCATGGGCTTGGTCGAAGGAGGGGTTGTCACGACTTAGAAGTTGTGTAACATAGGTCGTATAAGCGACTTGATAAGGAATATGGTGGCAAAATCATGAGGTGATGACCTAAGAACTTGCTGAGTCTTGGTAAAGAAGGAGATATAGTCCTACTAGGATGGTAAGTATATCTGGCTAAGGAGTAGAAAATCACAAAGACGTGCTATACTAGGAAATGAGATACAAAAATATCTCTTTCCTATGATGAGGTTATGCCAGGTTTTTTTACAACTTAACGGATAACATATTTTACATCCCAGTTTTACCTAGTTCGCTCGTATTTTACATATTTTACAATTTGAGCGTACAAAGTTTTTCTTCTAAGATTCCTCTCGTCGTATTTTGCTGGTCACCGAAGCTCAAACTGAAGGATAGTTCGTGAAGTTGCTGGTCTAAAATTCGATTTTGGGGACAATTTGCATTAGTTGTCAAAATCCAACAACTAGCCATCCATTATTCTCCTGACGATACAAATATATTGGCAGAATGCGTATATGAACTGGAACTTTTAGAGCATTTATTACTGCATTAATTATTACATCAATTATCCATTTTACATTGAACCCACACAACGTTGCCGCATGCATACATCTTGTAGCACGGTTAAAAACTACAATACAATCGCTCCATTTTATTCAAACCCCAAACACGACAAGTAATCACTTCATATTAAATATAAAGTTGATCCTAAGTGTCCTCACCAATTTTTTTTACCGTTGGATCATACAAAGACAATCCCATTTTAAGCATGAATCACAGACAAAGCCCTTTCAAGCTTAATGAATAGAGCTAATTTATTTATCAATCTTTAGAGTCTCTTTTCACGACTTTTTCAAGCCAAGAATGATGAGAATAATTCCGAGATAATCATATCGGTAGGCAGATCTAAAGAGGTGCAGCTTATGTTGATTCCAAGGAGGATATCTGAACCAGAAATCCACAATGAAGCTCCTTCTTACAACCACTTTCTCATGAGAGAACAAGTCAAATGAGAACTTCCCATGATACCTCCCAAACCCACTCTCACCGACTCCTCCAAATGGAAGCGAATCAGCTACATACTGCATGAAACAATATAAGATAAATATTAAGATGATAGAATAATGTAATGTACTATGTTGTAGTAACAAGAAGCCATAAACCTTTTTCAGAAGGCTAGGATGATATAATTATTTAACTGGCTTTGCCATTGACTTACTTGGATGATAGCATCGTTAAAAACAATGCTGGATGAAGTCGTGCCAGATGACAACTTTTTCTTGAATCCTTCATTATTTGTAAATGCATAAATAGCGAGCGGCCTAGGCCTTGAACTGATGAACTCAACGCTATCTTCAATTTTCTCCAACTGTAAAAAAAATAAAAAATAATGGTAAATTCTCAGAGAAACATGATAAGGTGTATTGATCTACAAAATCAAAATGATTTCTGAAAATTAGATGCTTACAGTGATGATAGGAAGTAATGGACCAAAAATTTCTTCGGTCATGATCCCAGACTTAAGCGGTGGATCCACTAGTAAAGTTGGTTCTATGAAGCTGCAGAAATAATAAAATGTTTTGTTATATTAGCAAGAAATTGAGTTGACAACAAAGTAACTGAAAGACAACTGCAGAATTTTTTGTGCTCTAATTTTGAGGCACTAGTAAAATAATCTAGTAACTATGTAATCATCTCAGATCTTTGTTACGTAGAAAGTTCATGTTCTTGTTTTTGACCAAAATTTGCATGATTGAATTTGACTGAATTACAGATTAGGACAGATATAGTAACAAGATTACATTGCAAATTATATATTTCCTAGGACTAAACATGAAATAGCAAAATTTCTACTTTTTACAGGGCAACTGAACCACCACCTTGAAGTGATTTGACTAATGTTTTCTTAATATATTTTTTTTCATTTGGAGAGTTATTTTACTTACAGGTTATCTTCATCTAGTGAACCGCCATGGACTACAGAAGCCTCGACCTCTGGTTCACTTAAGAGGTTACGTAAACGAGAAAAGTGACTTTTGTTGATTATTCTAGCAATGGTATTTGATTCGTTTGGATTTTCCCCAAACATACTGCGAATGGAAGCCTTTAGTAGTTCCACCTGTTCAAGAATGAAGTGTGGATGAAAAAACACGAATTTGGAGGTCACAATACTTTGCATATAAAGCATGTCTTATATAGTTATATGTCAATGTACCAAAGTGGATGCAAAATTCTTCTCGACAAGAATATAGTCAATGGCTATGCAGGCTTGGCCAGCACAAGTCCCAAACTTCGCTGAAAGCATACGTCGCAATGCAATCTGAAAAAGGTCATTTTTCACAATGAAAGTACACAAATTATATTTCTAATAGGGGGAAAAAAAAAACAGATAAAGAAAGAAATATGCACTACCTAAAATAACCTTACTTTGACATATTTTTAATGCCAAAGTAGTAATACACTAATACATATTTTATTTTATATTTTTAATTAAAAATGAATTATCTAAAAACCCTTACTTTACATGTTTTTAATGACAAATTAGTAATACACTAATACCCATCATATCTTATATTTTTAATTAATAACAAATTCTTAATTAATTAAATACAAATACATGAACAATACATTTCACATCTCCTGAAAATCAAACACAATATTCTCGCACCATTATTTTCTCACGAAATGGCTTTCTCCACATATCTCCCAAAAATCAACCCAACATCAACCTAAACAACAATGTTTTGAAAAGATATAGCATTGTTGTTAAAAAAATCTTGGTTTTAATACAATTTTATACATTATCTGACAAATTAGAAAAGTTGAACAATTCATTTAGCTACTTCATTATTTAAGAAAAGTTAACTCTTATATTTAGAATTAGAATAGAAATTGCACTTTAGTCTTACTGGATTAAATTTTGATCCCACAAAAATCGTCATTTCTTTGTTTGTTTGTTTTTTCTAATTTTAGTTACAAAGTGAATGAAAATAACGAATTTTCAACCATTAGATAGTTAATATCAAGGTGAGTAATATTTTAATTATTAACACTTAAAATATATGAATTTTACATTCAAGAAATAAGTAAAATATATCATGAGATTTTAATTATTATTATTTTATTTGAGTCATTGATTTTCAAGATGTGTGCTAAATAAAAGAACAATATGAAAGTAAAAAAAAATGTTAAATTTGATTAATAACATTAAAAATATAATTAAGTAGTTACTAATAAATATGAAAACAAATAATAAATAAAAATTTTATAATTAATAAAAGTAAATATAAAACTTTAAAACTTATACTTATTGATGTAAATGAATAGAATTGTTTATTTATTTTTAATTTTTTATTAGTTCTATGTGTAACTTTTAGGTGATACATAATAGTTATTTGTATTTTTATCCATGTAGGTTGAAAATTTTAATATTAAGAAAAAATTATTATTTTAATTTTAGATATCCTTTTATTTGATATCAGTTTTTATAATACAATATATAAATATCATATTACAATATAAAATAATAATTATTTTTTGTTATTTAATATTTAATATGTAAAAGATTATAATTCAATTGAGAAATTAATAGATAATCTTAAGTTAAAATAACGAGTGATTTTTAAAAAGTTATATGGACTAAAAAGTTCATGTGTTTAATATATTTTTAATAAAAACAATTATAAACGCAATTAATTAATAAAAAAACTACAATATAAAAATTTTAACGCTTAAAAGGAAATGCAAAAAATAAAATTCTATATTGCAATGAAAAATTCAACGATAAGGTGTTCCACTAAAAATTCCAAAGGATATTTCATTTGCATAGCTTTCATTGGAAAATATCACCAGCTAATCCAACATAGATCAAACTAAATTGTAATGAAATTTTAGTGGATTTAATGATTCGAATTACCATTATTTATTGTTGTGTGAATTCATTTGATTTTTGTTTTCGGAACATATTTCTACCGTTGGAAAATTTTTTCATTGGAATTGTAAAAAAATCAATGAAAGTTGCATTGGAAAGTTAATTGCAGTGGTAGATACAAACAATTTCATATTGGGGGCACTATTTAGCTAATAGAAAAAATATACCATCAAAATAACATAATGTCATTACAATATATAAATTATACTTTTCATAATTTATCATCTTTCTCATCTGTAATACATGTTTAGCAAATCTATACAATTACAATAAGTTAAAACTATTTATAAAAAAACATAATTTTCTCAACTAAAAATAAGTGAATCATTGAAAATAATGTATCTTTTAAAATCAGATGAACAAAAAATCTGTGTTGTAGTATAGATGACTCGACAATATTATTGATTAATTTATAAATTATGACTAATTGATTATAATATTAATTAAAAAAATTTAATTGTATATAATATAATATTAAAATATACAAATAGATGATATATTAACACTTGTGACCGAAATAATATATTCTTTAAAAATCTTATGAGCAAAACATCTATGTTGTAGTATAGTTGACTCAACAATAGTGTTGATGAATTTATAAATTATGAATAATTGTATAATATTAAAGAGAAAATTGTAATTATATATGATATAATGTTAAGATATATAAATAATTGATATATTAACACATATGACCGAAAAAGTTCTATACATAATATTATGAATTTTTAAGAAAAAACAAAAGTTTAAAACATATGAAAGAACAATATAAAATAAAAAAAATATTAGATCTGACAAATGCTATTAAAAATTACTAAGTTGTAACACGTACTAATAAATATTAAAAAATAATAAATAAATATGTTATGATTAATAAAAGTAAACATAAACATTTTAAAACTTATATTTATCGATGTAAACGAGCAGGGTTATTAAATGTTTTTTAATTTTTGTACTTATTAATTCTATATGTAAGTTTTAGGTGATATACAATAGTTATTTTTACCTTTATCCATGTAGGTTAGAAAAAAAAAAAAACACTGGATTATTCTAATTTTAAATTACTTTTTATTTGCTATTAGCTTGTTACATATAATATATATATCATATAAAATATATAAATAATAATTATTTTAATTATTCCAACAGAGATCAAATTAAATTACATTGAAAATTTTGTGGATTAAATGATTCCAATTGCTATAATTTATTATTGTTTGAATTTCTGTTGACTTTTTTTACGGATCATGTTTTGACTGTTGAAAAAACTGTCATTGAAATTGTAAAAAATTTAATAGAAGTGCAATTGGAAAACTAATTACAGTGGGGGATCCAAAATAATTTTATATTGTGGCACTATATAGTTAATAGAAAAATTATACTATCAAAATAACATAATGCCATTACAATTTATAAATTATACTTTACACAATTTGTCATGTTTCTCACTTGTAATACATTCTAACACATCAGTACAGTCATAATAAGTTAAAAAATATTTAATAAAAAAATGGCGATTTTTCTCAATTCAACATAAGAAAGTCATTTAAAATAATAATTTTTTAAAAAAATTATAAACAAAAAATCTATATTGTCGTATAGCTGACTCGGCAATACAGTTGATGAATTTATAAATTATGAATATATAACTATAATTCCCCTTGCATTAGTTAAAAAGACATAAAAAATATATTTTGAAAATATAGAAAAAAATATGTTGCAAAAGAGAGATTTGAAACTATCATCAATTTGGTTTATTTACATTTAATTGAATTCAAAAATGCCTTTTAAAATAGGAATAGAAAAGTCTATATCGTATATCAGATAAAAAATTTAAAAACTTGGCGTGAACTAGCGAATTATTACGGTATTATATCGTAGTGATGCAATTATTCATGATAATAACATGTATAGATAATCTTGGTATATAAATGAATAAACTGGTCTCAACTATTGGGTCGTAATTTTGAGATTTATTATTATTTTTAGTTGTGATGCCGCGTTTATGTTATAACATTAATAAAGTTATGAGTTGAATTAAATTATAATTGGTTGAGTTGTAAAATTATTCATTATATATCTTTTTTTCTTTTAATTTCATTCTTAAAATAAGGGACATGATAAAAATTATGAAAAAATGTTCCCACAATTTTTATTAGATTCTTATGCTATATGCTTTGGGATGGAGGGCTGTGCCGGACCTATAAATAAACATAAATTTGTTCATGATTCCAATAAAATAATTTTTTCTAGAATTATATTGAAAAATTCAAACGGGAGTAATAATATTGAAATATTCGTTAGAATTTTCGATGAATTTCCTTGTAATATGTTTTTTTTTTGAAATTTTCGCTGGAATTTTCTCATTTTCTTGTAGTAAAGGTAGGGCTCCAAATCAATAATAAAAATTTGATTTATACATAATATTGTATAAAACTAATTATTATGAAAATTGTTGATAGTGATAGAAAATATAACACATTCAATCTAGTTATCATTTAATTTATGGTAGTTAGTAAACTATTTCAAAACAAACAAGATACATCTAGGTCAAAAAGTCTTTGATTATTTTATTAGTATTATAATAGCTAAACAAGGGACAAGAATGATGAGAAAACTTATAGCTCGCATTAAATCTGAAAGTAAAAAAAATGATAAAATTAATAAATGTCCTATATCAATTGGAGCTAGGTAATGAGAAATATCAAACATACTTAATATGCACATTTATTTTAACTTGAACTTTTAATTTCATAAAAAAAATATTTTTTTTTGCATTAAAATTCACTATGTTAGTTTTAAATTCTTTTAATTAAAAATGTAATTACTTTCTACCATTAATTTTTCAATTTTAAAATACTTATTATTTTTTCATTTGTTATCCTCTATATGTAATATATCACATCATTTCTTTCCACTGATGTATATCAATTATCAACACGAATTCAAAATAATAAATAGACCTAAAAGTATCTTATAAAATAAATTATACATCCATGATAAATAAATTCATTCAGTATTAAATAACATATATAAACTTGTGGCCTATTTTTCTTACATAGATCCTAAAATTCATACTAAGAAAAAACAAACAATGGATGTATACATACAACTATCACCAATATTAACCATGTGAATTAAAAGGAGAAATAAACGACTTGTATGTTAAATTATTATTCAACTAACACATAAATTCAATGAGTATGAAAATGAGTTAGTTTCTTAATATTTTCTCAAACATTGGGAAAAAAATTCTAAACCTTTTAGTCTAATAATCAGTATAAAAGTACATTTTTTATCAAATATATTATTATTATAATTAAATAAATAAATAAGTAAGTAATATTAAATTTTATTTTATCTTATGTGATTATATTAGTTGTTACCTAATAAATAAGATATTTTGATAACAACGTCATTATATGAAATGCGTACAAAAAATGATGCAATACATATAAATGTGCTATAATTCTTTTAATAAATAAAGTATTATTAACAATGGAATAAAAAACTAATAAAATAAGAGTAATGCAATTGAAAAAATAAAACGTTTGAATATTTTTAAACAAGTATGGATACCAATATTTAGAAACAAAAAGTCTTTTAAAATAATGCTTTTTTTGTTGCTAGCATTTACATATATGGATTCTGTAAGAAATTGGATCTCATTAATAATGATCCTACTAGTATGACACCCGTGTACTACACGGGTTGTTTGAAAAAAATATATAAAACATAAAATAATAGAAAAAACACATGTTGTTGTATAACTATTTCAATTCTTTAAAATATAGTAGAAAGATCATGTAATATTCTATAACTATTTCAATGTATTTGTATAAATATTCTAAAAAAATTTAAATAATTTATTTATCATTGTGTTCATCAAAATTTATTTTATTTATATTAGAAAGATCATGTAATATTCTATCACTATTTCAATGTATTTTTATAGATATTCTAAAAAGATTTAAATAATTTATTCGGATTGAAAAGATATAATATATAAGTGACTATATATTTTTTGTAAAATTATAGTATTTTTTTAATTTAAACTATATAAAAAAGTTATTGTTTACACTAATTATATAAATAGAATAATATATAAAGCTAAATTTTTTATTTTGATTTACACCATATAAAATAATATATAAAGCTAAATAAAAGGTATTTTTTTTATATGTAATGTTGCCAAGTAAGCTTTATAAGATAAGAATCTTATTTAGTTTGGAGTTGGAGGATTTACACGGCATAGCTAAATAAAAGGTATTTTTTTTAGATGTAATGTTGCCAAGTAAGCTTTATAAGATAAGAATCTTATTTAGTTTGGAGTTGGAGGATTTACACGATATATAAGAATCCTATTTATTTGGGAGTTGGAGGGATCAGATTAAGCAAAATTTCTATTTATTAAGTATTTTATTTTAAACAATTAGGGATGTATCCGAACCAAAAGCCGAAGCATGTAATGTTGTCAATGTTAGAGTAGTATACCCAGCGTTCCAATTGGATTGGATGTATTCTACTTGTAAATACAATCTATTGGAATTATATTAATTAAAAGGCATTACTTTATCTTAAGAGTAAGCATTTATCCTATATTTGCACTTAAGATAAAATCCCTAGATCACATATAGTTATAAGGTATGGTTGCGCATAGAGATGGTGATCATGGAACATACCTTGAAAGCTGTGGTCTTAAATAAAGTTCCAAGTCGATGGATGTTTCAAAAAGGGATATCGAATAATCCATAAAAGACTTGTACATAGTATGTATGCTTGTTTGACAAGAATGTTGCATTCCATCAACATTAGCGTGGGACGCAAGTACATATATGTGGGTGCTTGTTAGAGAACAAGTTCATGACCGTATGAAAATTCTTAATGAAGAATTATTTTAGTTAATTATTCTGTCGAATAAGAATTTTCATGTTACAATAGTACATGACTAATCCTTAGACTTGAGGCACAATGGTAACTTTGTGCATATTACGTTCTACTTTGATTTATCCTTTTGGTTGCTAGCACAATTGTATAAAGGGATATTTTGGGTATTATGTTAATATGTATGGAAGTATGTTAGTGGCCAACAAAGGATTCGACACGTATGAAGATACGAGAATTTCCTATGTATTTCATAGTTAGTAATTCAAAGTCCTTGGCCAAGGCAGGATGAATAGAGATTCACACATGAATTACTAAACATGAAATAGAATCATTGTTGGGGTTGTAATATGTTAGTTAATTCTTTTTATATTAGGACATCGTTAAGTTATTTTGGAAAAAACAATTTGTTCTACATTTTGTTTCATTAATTTGTTCTACATTTTGTTTCATTAATAAATTAATTTATTTATTTTACAAAACTTAATCGGCAAAAACCATTACATTATGAACTCATTTGTTCTACGTTTTATTTCACTCTTGAAATGATATTTTTAATAAATTAATTAATTTATTTTACTAAGCTTAATTGACAAACATTCACCACCACGTGCATCGCACGTGCACTTTACTAGTTACAGTAAAAGCACAAAAACATGATAGAACAACTAATGTTGGTTCTTGGTAGTGTTTGACATAAACTGCAAGCTAGTAAAACTTTAAAACAGGGTACTACTTGATCAATTGGCTGCATGAATATACTTCATTTCTCTATATATATTCAGGCCAAAGTGAAACAAAAAATAAAAAATAAAAAATTATAGGACGGGCCCACCTTCCGTTTTCAGACTTATTCGTAAGAATTATCCAAAGGATCAGTTGACAATTACATTATATCAAGTGTTTGCCAACAGTAACCAAGAAATAGCAAAATAGAAGGAAAAATTGGATAGTTACACCAAATTGAGAAATAGTCCGATAGTTGCGTTGATTTTACAAAATACATGCAAAAGAACCTGACTATTGGTCTTGCCGGTCAATGTTGAGTTGGATATGTTAGTCGGCAGCTGCCCCGTGTAAGGAAAAATAAAAAAATAATAATAATATCCACGTCAGTAACATGTGGTCACAGGGACACCGTCTTTTGCTGGTGGAAGGTCCCAAAAT